AAATTTAGTAATTTATACGGGAGAAGGGGTTACTAGCCCCTTGCTCCAGGCATTTTAGTCTCTTCTTACAACACGCATGGCTTACGGAGGAAGAATTCTGTTCCACTTCCCCATGGAGATAAGAGGAAATAAACAAGAACAAGAAAAAAAAATATACATGTGTATATATATATATATATATATATATATATATCCTAGGTAGTAGGTTGGTAAACAGCAACCGGTGCCCAGGGAGGTACTACTGTCCTGCCAAGCGAGTGTACAATGAAAACCTGTAATTGTTTTACATGATGGTAGGATTGCTGGTGTCTTTTGTCTGTCTCATAAACATGCAAGATTTCAGGTATGTCTTGTTACTTCTACTTGCACTTAGGTCACACTACACATACATGTACAAGCATATATATACACACCCCTCTAGGTATTCTTCTATTTTCTTTCTCGTTCTTGTTCTTGTTTATTTCCTCTTATCTCCATGGGGAAGTGGAACAGAATTCTTCCTCCGTAAGCCATGCGTGTTGTAAGAGGCGACTAAAATGCCGGGAGCAAGGGGTTAGTAACCCCTTCTCTCGTATAAATTACTAAATTTAAGAGAAACTTTCGTTTTTCTTTTTGGGCCACCCCACCTCGGTGGGATACGGCTGGTATGTTGAAAGAAGATATATATATATATATATATAATATATATATACATATATATACACAGGTATATACTTATACACACACACACATATACTATATACATTTTTTTCCAACATATCAGCAGGGACACCCAAAAAAGAAAAACACTCACCATCATTCACACATAATCACTGTCTTTGCAGAGATGCCCAGATATGACTGTTTAGATGTCACTCCAAACACACATACAGTTATACCCTTCCCTACGTCATTAATTGGTTCCAAGAGCCGTGATGTAACCCCGCTGATGTAAACCGGACGTAATGCCTTAGAATGATGACAAATACCATAAAACTAGAGTAAATAACTGACAAAAGAATATAACTATCGGTAAAACTTAAAGAACACTAAAAACACAAAAAAATTATGTTATTTACCTTGTGATTTGCCCTTAAAAATGCCTGAAGTATGACGAAAAACACATTGCAATTAGCATAAACAACACGCTTTTAATCATATTTAACTTATCTTAACCACATTATGATTGGAATCACTAGCACTATCAGTCTTAGGACCCATGGCAAACAGACACAGTAAAGGAATAATCACAAAAAAATAACAGCAGAAGGCAAAACAAGCACATGATTGCAGCATGAGCTAAAATGCATATGGCATTACCCTCGTTTTAAATGAGAACCAGCAGCAACGCAGCCACGGACATTGGTTTACAATTTTTCAATGTAGATATTTTACTGTACGTGTATACATTATATTTTTATTGTATTTTTATTGTATTTAAAAATTTTTTAATCTTATCTTTTATTGTTAATTTGTGTTTTATTTTAAATATATTTTTAAGGAAAAATTTATTTCACGTCCTTTTATGACTTAGGTGACGTTGCCGAGTGACGAAAAGTTGGACGTAATGACATTCACTGAACTGAAATCTACTCTAGAAAACTGGCATAAAGGCAAATTTGACACAAGCCAAAATGACGTAAGCTAAAATGACGTAAAGCAAGTTTTTTTTTTTAACACGTCGGTCATTTTCCACTGAGGCAGGGTGACCCAAAAAGAAAGAAAATACTTTCATCATTCAACACTTTCACCATCACTCATACATAATCACTCTTTGCAGAGGCACTCAGATACAAGAGTTTAGATGTCCCTCCAAACACCCAGTATGCCAAACCCTAGTTTTGAAGTGTAGGCACTGTACTTCCTACCTCCAGGACTCAAGTCCAACTAACCAGTTTCCTTGAAACCCTTCATAAAATATTACCCTGCTCACACTCCAACAGCTCATCAGGTCCCCAAAAACCATTTGTCTCTATTTACTCCTATCTAACACACTCATGCATGCTTGCTGGAAGACCAAGCCCCTCACCCACAAGTAACATTTGCACCTGAGAAAACGCAAATGATGATTGTCTCTAGGTACCATGATGGTAATGCTGGTGCAGTAGTAAGGATGAATGGGAGGATGTTGGCACCTGGAGAAGAAGTTGATATCCTTGGGGTGAAATTTGACTCCAAACTAACCATGAAGAACCATGTTGTAAATCTTGCAAACAAGGCAGCCAGGAAGCTTACAGCACTTCGCCGTATCTCCCATCTGCTTGACAGTAGGGGTTGCAAGATCCTGTACGAGGCACAAGTACGCTCGCACCTTGAGTATGCTCCACTTTCTTGGTTTGCCTGCCCCCCCTCTCATCTGCGACTGCTTGACAGAGTAGAGAACAGAGCAAGACGTCTCATCTCTCGCCTGGACCCATCCTGGATAGATCTGTCATTTCAGCAGAGCCTTCAACATAGGAGGGATGTGGGTGGCCTTACTGTTATGTACAAGGCCAATATTGTCAAAATACCACACTTGGATCCACTTCGAGGACAGCGTGAAACAAGCTTTTATGCCACAAGACGGGCAGAAAGCAGCAACTTCACTCTGGCTGTACCCTTCTCCAGAACATCACTCCATCTGAGATCATACATACCCAGGATGACTCGAGTATGGAACACATTCATACAGCATAATGATGTCAACGAGATAAAGTCAGTTGATCAAATGAAAATACTGGCCCACAGATGGCTCCAACTTCATCCTGTTTCCTACTTGTATGTCTCATAACAATAAAAATGCTTTCAAATGAGCTGATGTAGGTAACAGCTCTTAGCTTGCCAATAAAGTTAGGAATCCTTAACCTGTAAATAGCTGTCAATAAAGCTAGGGAACCTTAAACTGTCAAACCCTGTGTAAATAAAAAAAAAAAAAAAAAAAAAAAAAAAAAAAAAAAAAAAAAAAAAAAAAACCTCCTTTACTTCCTCCAACATTTCCTAGGACGACCCCTACCCTGCCTTCCTTCCCCTACAGATTTATATGCTCTCCAAGTCACTACTTCGTTCCATCCTCTCTAAATGACCAAACAACCTCAACAATCCCTCTTCAGCCCTCTTGACTAATACTTTTAGTAACTCCACTCCTAATTTCCACACTACGAATTTTATACATAATATTTACACCACACAAGACATCTCCACTGCCTCCAGCCGCCTCCTCGCTGCAGCATTTACAACCCATGTAAGAGTTTTGGTACCACTATACTTTTGTACATTCCCTTCTTTGCCTCCATGGATATCTTTTTTGTCTCCACAGATACCTCAAAGCACCACTCACCTTTTTTACTTCATCAATCCTATGGTTAACCTCATCCTTCGTAAACCCATCTGCTGACAAATCAGCTCCCAAATATCTGAATACATCCATTTCTTCCATATCTCTCCCTCCAATGTGATATCCAATTTTTCTTTATCTAAATCATTTGATACCCTCATCACCTTACTCTTATCTATGTTCACTCTCAACGTTCTAACTTTACATACCCTCCCAAACTTGTCCACTAACCTTTCCAACTTTTGTTTAGAATCTTCCAAAAGCACAGTATGAGCAAAAAGTAACTGTCAACTCCCATTCTGTATTTGATTTCCCATAATTTAATCCCACCCCTCTCCCAAACACCCAAGCATTTACTTCTTTTACAACCACATCTATCAATATGTTAAACAACCATGGTGACATTACACATCCCTATCTAAGACCTACTTTTACTAGGAAGTAATCTCCATCTCTCCTACACACCCTAACCTGAGCCTCACTATCCTCATAAAAACTGTTTACAGCATTTAGTAACCTACTACCTATTTCACATACTTCCAACATCTGCCACATTTGCTCCCCTATCCACCCTATCATATGCCTTTTCTAAATAAATATATGCAATGAAAACTTCCCTAGCTTCATCTAAAAACTGTTTACATACATGCTTCAATGTAAAAACGATCTACACATCCCCTACCCATACTAAAGCCTCCTTGTTCATCTGCAGTCCTGCTCTGTCTTATGTCTAATTCTTTCAACAATAACTCTACCATACACTCATTAAACTTATTCACCTATAATATTTACAATATCGTTTGTCCCCCGTCCTTTTATATAAAGGAACTATGCACACACACTGCCAATCCCTAGGTACCTTCCCCTCTTTCATACATTTATTTTTTTAACATATTGGCCATTTCCCACTGAGGCAGGGTGACCCAAAAAGAAAGAAAAATCCAAAAAGAAAAAAACTTTCATCATTATTCAACACTTTCACCATTGGTCATACATAATCAGTCTATGCAGAGGTGCTCAGATATGACAGTTTAGATGTCCCTCCAAACTGCCAATATCCCAAACTCCTTTAAAGTGCAGGCATTGTATTTCCCATTTCCAGGACTCAAGTCCAACACTATATCTCCCCCGCTTCTAACATTCTGTCATGATCTCGTCAGTTCCAGCTGCTTTATCCCCCTTTCATTCTACGTAATGCCTCAGGCACCTCCCCCACACTCGCATCCTGCTCTTCACTCCTAAAAGATGTTATACATCCATGGCCAGTGCTTGAAATTACTGCCTCCCTTTCTTCATCAACATTTAAAAGTACCTCAGAATATTCCTGCCATCTTCCCAATACCTCCATCTCCCCATCTACTAACTTTCCTATTTATAATTAAAAGAAAAGAGTTAAGCTTATAATTTCCCATCTTCAGTACAACCTATCAAGATATATTTAAAAGTGTTCAGGGGTTGTAGCATTGTCTTCGCTTGTAATCCATTTCAGTATTTTACCACTTTGTTCAAAGAACTTTTTTTCCTAGTACAGGTCGGCCATCACTAATCTGGCAATCAGTTATCCGGTTCCATCAGTAATCCAGTACTAATTTCAGCTAGCATAATTTCAAATTTCATCATCATACTGACTCAGAAATTGCACAGATGGTTGTAAATACACAGCAACAAGCCAGTAGAGGAGAAAGCAGTGATGAAAATGAGAAAGATGTAGCAGAAAGTCTTTATTGATAGGTTAATTAAGTGTATTCTATAGAACCTAATCACTCTGTAATCCAGCAAACTCACTAATCCGGCACACTACAGGCCCCAGTGATGCCGGATTAGTGATGGCTGACCTGTACACTTCTCATAGCTCATTACCTCTCAGCATAAAGTTATGGCCTTATATTCTACCAGCTGATAGGGTCTAATTTTTTTTATCTTTTTCATAGGCAGTTAATATCCTGCACTCTTTGCTCACATTTATACCCCTTGTATGCCCCCATCCCCTTCCTCCCCTTCTTTTTTTAATGAAACAAAAGTTGAATTATTTTGGCAACTGATGGAATTAAAACTTATGTAGGAGGTTCTCTACTAATGCACTATACTCCTGCTAAATGCAGGAGACTTTTTTTTTTTTTTTTTTTTTTATATATACACAATTTTTTCAAGCCAAGAGCCATTATCCCACCATAGCTCATTTTAAAGCTCAGTCCTATCTATGGTATACTACCACCCCCCAGGATGTGACCCACAACAGCTGACTTACTACCCAGGTACCTACTTACTGCTAGGTGAACAGGAGAGCAGGTATATGGAAAGTTACCAAACGTTTCCATCCGTGCCGGGATCGAAAAACAGGCACTCAGTATGTGAGCTGACAACCTAGCTACAGGACTTGACAGGGCTGTGTTCTGAAAGCTTAATGTTAACCTTTTTTCACTCCACCCACTCCAGAAAAATATATTCTTTAACTCTTATACAAAAATACATAGTACTGTACACCTAATATATACCAAATTTACCTACCATATTAACAAATTTAATTTTTATACTGCACTATACTCTGTTATATACATTCCACCTGCCAATAAGAAATCATAAAATTAATTTTAAGTACGGCAGCTTCAAATGCATTATCTATAACTGCAGTTAAATGCATTTATATACATGTGTGTGGAAAAAGACACTTATGTACAGTTCAGGAAACGTTTTGCCACAAGTGGTGAAATGTTTCCACTAATAAATGTTCTGAACTGTAAATAAGTGTCTTTTTCCATATCTTGTTGGCATCACCATACCATTTTTCATTTACATACAAGTACATGTTCAAACAAGTTATATAATAAGGTTTCCCTTAAAATTTAAATACAGTAGTCCCCTGGCATCTGTGGATACCTGACACCATTGATAGTAGCGAATCCTATATATAAATCATTTTTCCTTTACATACATACCTATGACAAGATTTAACTGATAAATTAGGCACAATGAGTTGAGAATTTGCACTTTTTCACTGATGGAAAGCACTTCACAGCTTCTCTTAGGCTCTGAAGTACTTTTGTGCTCTGAGGTCATTATTAAGCAAAATTAAGGGTTATTTCGAGCCATGGTAAACTGTGGATAGCTAAAAATCACAGAAACTGAATCCGTGGATACAGGGGGTTCTACTGTATTGCTAACCCATACATGCTGTTGTCACAAAATATACTTAACTATATTTCAGATGAATTTTTTATATTACTATATTTCATAAATGCAAGTGTTTGTATATTTTGTCTTGTGACCTTCAGACATAACTTATTTTTTTCATGAAGATTATACTACATTGCAAGTGTCATGTTACATTTTTATCAATGCTCTGTTAACAATAATGAAGGGGACAAGACAATGACTTTTTTTAGGATTAACTGTATATGTATGCAGTCATCAGCTCACGAAAACTTACGATAAGCAGTGTTGCTGATTTTCATTTGGATCCTTTAATTTTCTCCTAGGATTTGACTCTCAATAATCAACTTATTCCCAGCTATCCATTTGCTGCTAGGTGGAGAGGGATAGGGGATGGGAAGATTTACTCTACTGTCCCCTCCTGCCTGGAGATTCGACACAGGCTTCTGTTAATCTTCCACAGTTTATTACCTTGAAATTCCTTTTGTGATGTTTACAGGTGGGTGTTTTGATAGTCATCTTCAGCTACAAATTTCTCCTGTCTGGAATGAAATTCACATTATCCTCTAAACTGCACAAATAAAGTATCATTAAATTATTTTTGCAACAATGATACAAGTACTGTAGTAGCTCCACGACTCAAGAAATCGTAATGACACGATTGCAAACAAACCATACCCCCGGCCGGGATTGAACCCGCGGTCATAGAGTCTTGAGGGACTTGAGCTAGAGTTCGTCACGGCCATGCTAGCTGGAGATTCGTCTGTAAAAACTTGCATTTGTGGTCACAGTGGTGCCTGTGCTAACCTTCCTATGGTGTAGAAATATACCTAGTTGGATGAATCTTATTGTGGCTAGCTGGTCTAGTGGCTAACGCTACGGGCTGGAGTTTTGAGACTATGACCGCGGGTTTAATCCCGGCCGGGGGTATGGTTAGTAGCTCCACGATGTGAGGCACTCCCCACGAGGATGAAAAGGTTTTATAAAACTATAAATATACATACATATTGTACAACATTATTTGTAGCCCACTTATTGTAAAAATACGATTTGCAACTAACCCACAAACTGGAAATTAAACTTTGGAAATTTTAGTCTCATCTAGACCCAAACATCATCTACACAATTATCTCCAATCTATGATTGCTGCAAGTTGTTCCAACCAGAATACTGTGGCTGTTTTCTTAATCCTGATATACACAGTGATACAGCCTTTATTAGCTTCTATGCCCTCAAAGATATCATCAAGGGGAAAATAATAAGAGAGCCTATCTGCATATTTTGCTAAGATTAAGAAAACCTTTTTCTTTCAACACACCATTCCTCTCTTGCTGAGGTAGGGTGACACCCCCCCCCCCCAAAAAAAAAAAAAAAAAAAAAATCTCACCAAAACATACTGACATCACAGTTCAAATGCCTACCAACCTGCAAAATTCCTGCCCCTCCTTCAGAGTGCAGGCACTGTACTTCCCATTTCCAGGACTAAGTCCTGTTAACCAGCTTTCCCTGAATGCCTTCCTAATTGTTACCTTGCTCACACTAACAACACAAAGTCAAAAAATAATTTGCCTTGACTCACTTTTATCTAATGCACTCTCGCAAGCCTGTAGGATGTCCAAACCTCTAGCACTCATAACCTCCTTCACCCCCTTCCCCAACTTGAGAAAACATGGGAACCAAATAGACAAGGCAGTTAAAAACAAAAAAAGATGTTAGATGGGGAGGTGGGGGTACTGGAAAGTTAGAGAGCATATTTTGAAGAACCAAAAAATGTTGCCGATTAAAGTGAGGCAATTTTAGATTTTGGGCAAGGATGAATAACATCTGGTATGGAAAACCAGTAATGCATGGGGAGGGAGGGGGGAGAATTAATGAGGCAGTAGATAAAATCAAAGGTGGTGTAACAGCTGGGGTAGATGGGATGAAGACTGAGATGTTAAAAGCAGGTGGGGATATAGTTTGGAGTGGTTGGTGTTTTTGCTCATGAAGGAAAGGTACCTAAGGATTGGCATAGGAAAAGGAGGCAAGATTAAGACTTATATGGGAATAAAACTATTGAGTATATCAAGTAAAATGCACAGTGAGAAAATTGTTGAAAGAGTCAGGGGTAAAACAAAGTAGGACTGTACACAAAACCTACACATAGGAGACAAACTTGTGAAGTTTCGGTCTGGCTTGGACCATTAACTAGTCACACACAAGCGTAAAGGGAAGGGAGTCGGTATATATTTACAAGAGTGGGGGGACGCAGGCAGGGCTGGGAGTAGTGGAACGAGATGAAGTAGTATAGTAGCAGAGGTAGAGGTGTAGGCAGCACCAGACGGGATAATAAGAACATGTTAGTGAAACAAACATCAGTGTGTGGAGTGTCAACAAAGTAATAATCAGTTTTAGGTCCTCTGTTGTTCATAATTTACAATAATGGCCTTGATGAAGGAATTACAAGTGACATGAGCAAATTTGCTGATACAAAAATAGGCCGTATGATTCATTCTGAGGAGGATACCAATGAACTCCAGGAGGATTTAGGCAAATTAATGTCTTGGTCTGAAAAATAGCAGATGAAGTTCAATGGGGACAAGTGTAAAATACTTGTCCTTGGTAATGAAAATAACCCTTGAAGTTATAAACTAGGTGAAGTAGAGCAGAAATCTAAAGCCAAGACAGCAGTGCCTAAGTGTGCACAATAAGGCTAACAGATTACTGGGATTTATTTTCAGAAGTGTAAGTAACAGAAGTCCAAAAGTTATCTTACAGCTCTATACATCACTAGTGAACCCTCTTTTGGATTATGCCATTCAGTTTTGGTCTCCTTACAACAGGATGGATATAGACTCACTGGAGAACATACAGAGAATGACTAAAATGATTTACTGTATACAGAATCTCCCATATGAAGATAGACTTAGAGCCTTGAATCTCCACTCTCTGGAGAGATGTAGAATGGAGGGAAGATATCATCGAAGTGTAGTCATGATGGGCATAAACAAAGGTGATATTAATAAAGTACTGAGGGTGTCAAACCAGGTAAGGACCAGAAATAATGTATTTAAGTTGGATAAATTTAGATTTAGAAAGGACATAGGTAAGTACAGGTTTTTGGACAGTTGTGGATGCGTGGAATGGTCTTCCGAGTAGGGTGATTGAGGCTAGGACCTTGGGGCTTTAAAGAGAGACTGGACAAATATATGAGTGGGAGGGGCTGGATTTGATTGGTGTTGTGGGTATGGGAGAAAATTCTTGGGTAGTTTTGGGTATGGGTGGTTTTGATAAGGACCTGCCATATATGGGCCAATAGGCCTTCTGCAGTGTTCCTCTATTCTTATGTTATGTTCTTAGTAGTATGGGTTAATTTTGATACAAGTATTGACCTAAAATAGAATATCAATATTGGCAAAAAATTGAGTATCATCCCATCCCCAAGCTGAGAGTATGATAGATATAAATATACCAATAATCAATTTAGGTACATGTACATGGACATGTGAAATATTCCAAAGACTTATATACTCACTGAGGTGGCTTTTGCATGATATGTGAAAGGGTATCAGGTAAGCTTGAGGGTGTCCTTGGTAGTAGAAGAGTCAGCAAGCCAGCCACAAATGTTACAATAGCCCATATACCGAGCTCTGCATATGCATCTAGGTACATACCGTATGAAGCCTACAATATATAAGACAAAGAAAATAAAAGTAGAATTACTGAAAATATCTTAGGTTAAAGGACATGTGTGCAACTAACATGACACTTTATTGTGGCAACATTTTGCTCTCCAGGAGCTTTGTCAAGTTGTTAATGGCTTGACAAAGCTTTTGGAGAGTGAAAAGTTGCCATAATAAAATGTCACATTAGTTGCACATGTGTCCTTTTACCTAAGGTATAAGAAGTGCTGAAAATAAAATATTTATAAGACTAAAAACCTTTTCTTTACTACACATACAGTATATATTTTTTTTTTTTCAACAAACCGGCCCAAAAAGGAAAACAAAAGTTTCTCTTTTTAAATTTAGTAATTTATACAGGAGAAGGGGTTACTAGCCCCTTGCTCCTGGCATTTTAGTCACCTCTTACAACACGCATAGCTTACGGAGGAAGAATTCTTTCTTCTTTTTTTCAACACACCGGCCATATCCCACCGAGGCAGGGTGGCCCAAAAGGAAAAACGAAAGTTTCTCCTTTTACATTTAGTAATATATAAAGGAGAAGGGGTTACTAGCCCCTTGCTCCCGGCATTTTAGTCGCCTCTTACGACACGCTTGGCTTACGGAGGAAGAATTCTGTTCCACTTCCCCATGGAGATAAGAGGAAATAAACAAGAACAAGAACTAGAAAGAAAATAGAAGAAAACCCAGAGGGGTATGTAAGTATATATATGCTTGTACATGTATGTGTAGTGTGACCTATGTATAAGAAGAAGTAGCAACACGTACCTGAAATCTTGCATGTTTATGAGACAGAAAAAAGGACACCAACAATCCTACCATCATGTAAAACAATTACAGGCTTCTGTTTTACACTCACTTGGCAGGACGGTAGTACCTCCCTGGGCGGTTGCTGTCTACCAACCTTCTACCTAGATACATATATTCATATACATGAATCCCACTGAGTGTGGCCACAGCAAGCATTGCCTCTGTATTTTTGGCTATGTAACATTCAGATCCCACATATACCAACTGGTTTTTCTCCCCCCCCCCCATCCCCACAAAAAATAAAAATGCTTTGTCATCCTTCCCCTCCCTTCTAAAAAAATAAGCAGTGTTCAGTTTTGAGTCCTGCAGCTCACCCAACGTAAAAAATGTGAAATTCTTCATATTCCTCCATTTTTTTTTTGGGGGGGGGGAACTGAATGATAATGGTTACACACAGCAGCACACATTCAATGTACAGCACATGAAAGTAAAGAAACAGAGCTTTTCTTTCAAATTGCAAGGAAAAAAATTACTGTATATGAGAGGGATCTAAGAGACTCCCTTGGATATCATATGAGAAAGTCTCTCTATGGGTGAGGCACTACCTGCTTGTGGTATATCAAGACTTCATATACCCATGAATACTATTCCAGCACAAAGCAAATCATTGACCTAGCCTCACCCTGTGACCTTTAGCTGAGAAACTGAACTCAATAGTACTTTATTGGCATTTATGGAATCACTTATTAAATAATAATCATAAAACATATAAAAATATGCCACATACTTACAAACACTGACATAATATCCAGATACACAAGTGCATGACCAAGTGTAGCCATGGAAAATGTTGTGCCAAGAACGAATCCTCTAGAGTGTGTCGGTGTCAGACGTATAACTCCAACACTCATCCATACACTGGCAAAGACCACACAGGCATGGCCAAGGCAGGAGAAGAAGACATAACCTCCACAAGTTACAACCAAGGCTGTAAAGATTAGTTTGATTATCAGTTTTACACAAAAGAAGCAAAGACCAAGTAATTTATATGGTTTCTCATCTATTATACATCGCCATACTGTGGTGTATGTCACATCTGCACATACTCAAACTGAGTACTAAAGACTGTGCATAAAAACAAATGTAAGGAAGAGAATCTATGCAGCAGATTTATTGCTATAATGAAACTCATAAGTCTATAGAACATCTATGAGCATATATTCATAGTAGACTACTTGGCAGTGTGAAGGGAACAGGTGATAGAGGGGGAAGAAAAGGAGATGGGAGGGAGATGAAAGAGGGAAAGGAATGAGGGGGAAGAGAAATAGAGGAAGGGGGGAGGAAAGAGAAAGAGTGAGAAAAGGGGAAGAATGAGCAAGGGGATAGGAATGAGCAAGGGAATGGAAGGAAGGAGAGAATGAATGTAATATGGTAGGAGCCATCTTCCACAATGGGTCTCCTATCCTGTATGGCAGTTGATAAAATTCCCTAACGTGAGTAAGGTTAGAAGTCATAAAATCAAAGAATTACTGTAATTAGGTTTTCTATGCTCCTAGATTAAGATGTTTGGAAGCAGCAGCCATTCAAAGATCTAACGTCACACAAAAGATTCACACAGCAACACCAACTGTCATACCAGACATCATTACTTGCTCTCTACCTTTCACACTTTGCTTTACTCTAATTATTTTTACAGTACAGTATGCTCATATACAGTACAGGGAATCCTCAATAAACAAGCCTTGTTCCTAGTGTGTTAACTTATGGTAGTGTTGTCTATAGCTTAAGTATTCCTGTAAAAAGCAATAATACAAAGGATGCTTTCAAAAATAGTAAATTATTGTTTTAATATTTATTATAGACTTTGAAAGTGTGGATATTTGTAACTGGGAGTTTTAAGTTAGTGACTCACCGGAACAGTAAGCCAATTTTCAAGATTATTAGGCTCAAAGAGCAAAATTTTGTCTGCCAAATATATTCTTTTTTCTTACGTGATGTTTTATTAGCATGGACTAACCTCGTTTAAGTACCGGAGTGAGAAGCAGAGCTACAGAAAGAGCCGACATAAGCGACACTAAAACCCACTTAACGTGAAGGCGTGTAACTGCCAATCCTAACAGCAACAACGATATGAACTCAATTGCTCCAAATGCCACTTGTCGATCTTCAAAACTGCAGATAAAAAATATACTATAGTTGACTTGTTGAAAAAAAAAATTATATTTAAGTAATAAATACAACTGATAAGTGATGCAGTTGTATGAAATAGGTAGCAAGTTGTTAAAAGTTGCAAGGAACTTTAGGCCTGTCTGCTGACAAAACCGCTCCCAAATATCTGAACACATTTACTTCCTCCATACTCCCTGCTAATTTGATATCCAATCTATTATTACCTACTTTTTTTTTTTTTTTTTTGTTACTCTCATCACCCTGCTCTTCTATGTTTGCTTTAAATTTCCTTTAACATACCTCCCCAACACCCTTGCATTCACTTCTCTTACAACCTTATCTATAAAGATGTTAAATAACCAAGGTGGCATCATACATCCCAGTCTAAGGTATAGTTTTACTGGAAAATAATTTCCCTCTCTCCTACATACCCTAACCTGCACCTGGCTATTCACATAAAAACTCTTAACTGCTTGAAGTAACCTACCACCTTTTCCATACACTTGCAACATCTGCCACATAGCTCCCCTATCGATCCTATCATATGCCTCTTCTAAATTCATAAATACAGCAAAAAATTCCTTATCTAGGTATTGTTCACTTATATGCTTTATTGCAAACATTTGGTCTACACATCTGCTATCCTTCCTAAAACAACACTGTTCATCTGCACTCCTGTCTAACTTACTCTTAATTTTTTCCAATAACTCTACCATACATTTTACCTTTTAAGTATACTTAAAAGGCTTATTTACCTATAATTCTTGCTGTCTTATCCTCTTTTTTCCTTATACTACAAGTAACTATGCATGTTCGCTGTTAATTCTGATATACCTTCTCCCCTTTACCTGGAATATACCTGGAGAGGGTTTCCAGGGTCAATGCCCCTGCAGCTTGGTCTGAGACCAGGCCTTGTGGTGGATCAGGGTTTGATCAACCAGGCTGTTACTGCTGGCCGCACATAAACTGACAAACAAACTACAGCCCAGCTGGTCAGGTACTGACTTTAGGTGCCTGTCCAGTGCCTTCTTGAAGACAGCCAGGGGTGTATTAGTAATCCCCCTTATGTATGCTGGGAGGCAGTTGAACAGTCTTGGGCCCCTGACACTTACTGTGTTGTCTCTCAAGTGTACTCATGGCATCGCTGCTTTTCATTGAGGGAATGTTGCATCTCTTGCAGAGTCTTTTGCTTTCATAGGGAGTGATTTTCGTGTGCAAGTTTGGTACTAATCCCTCTAGGATTTTCCAAGTGTCTATTATTATGTCTCTCACCTGTGTTCCAGGGAATACAAATCGAGGGACTTTAACTGTTCCCAGTAATTTAGGTGCTTTATCATACTTATGTGTGCCATGAAAGCCTTTTGTACACTCTCCAGGGCAGCAATTTCGCCTGCTTTGAAGGGGGCAGTTAGTGTACATTCATACATTTATTGAACAAATCGTTAACGACTCCAATACTATATTTCCTACCTGTTTTTAACATTTGTGCTTGATCCTATCTATCCCAGTTGCTTTATCCAGTTTCTTTCTACTTACTGCCTTGTGCACCACCCTCACACTCACATCTAACTCTTCCTTACCCCTAAGAGATGTTTTACTTCCTTGCCCATTGTATGAAATTTGTGTCTCTCTTCATCAACACTTAACAGTTCCTCAAAATATTTCCTCTATCTTCTCAGTATCTCCACCTCTCCATCTAATAACTCCCCTCTTTTGTTTATAACTGTTAAATCCATCTGTTCTCCAGGCTTTCTAAACTTACTGACCTCACTCAAAAACATTTTTCTTCTTCTCAGCAAAATTTGTTGATAAACTCACACCCACTCATTTGCTCTCCTTTTACACTCCCTCACCATTCTTTTAACCTCTCTTTTACTATCCATAATAGAAGTGATAGTATGAATGATGGTGAGTGTTTCTTAATCAGGTCAGCCTGCCTCAGTGGGAAATAGCCAGCTTGTTAAAAAATAGAAGTGATACACTCTGCAAATCACCTCTGTTATGTAAAAACCTCTCATATGCTAACTTTTTTCTCCTTTAACACATTTTACCTGGTCATTCCAACAATCGCTCCTCTTCCCCCCCCTGCCACCCACCCTCCTTTATCCTAAAACTTCTGCTGCACTTACACTGCATTTTTAAATCTACCCCATACCTCTTTGACCTCCATAAGATCACCTGTACTCTCACTGGTTCACCTTTCTTCCTAGTTGCTTATATCTTACCTTATTTCCTCCTTTAATTTATATACACTTTCCCTTTTCTCTTAATGATGTTCTTGTATCCCATCTACCTTTGACCCTTAACTGTAAATACCATTAAGTAATGATTTGGTATATTTGTTACCTCTCTAAAAACCATGCACATTCCAAAGACTATGCTAACTGGCATCATACACCCTAAATCTCATATTTATCCTTTTTCTTAAAATACTCGTTACCTATCGCCAAAGCTCTTTCTCTACATGGTTCAACTGGAGGCCCCATTATTATTTACCTCCAACACTCCAACCTTACCTACCATGCCCTCTACAACAGTTTCTCTAACTTTAGCATTTATGTCCCTAACAACAAGATGTTAATTTTTTTTTTTCTTAATTATTATCACACCGGCCGATTCCCACCAAGGCAGGGTGGCCCGAAAAAGAAAAACTTTCACCATCATTCACTCCATCACTGTCTTGCCAGAAGGGTGCTTTACACTACAGTTTTTAAACTGCAACATTAACACCCCTCCTTCAGAGTGCAGGCACTGTACTTCCCATCTCCAGGACTCAAGTCCGGCCTGCCGGTTTCCCTGAATCCCTTCATAAATGTTACTTTGCTCACACTCCAACAGCACGTCAAGTATTAAAAACCATTTGTCTCCATTCACTCCTATCAAACACGCTCACGCATGCCTGCTGGAAGTCCAAGCCCCTCGCACACAAAACCTCCTTTACCCCCTCCCTCCAACCCTTCCTAGGCCGACCCCTACCCCGCCTTCCTTCCACTACAGACTGATACACTCTTGAAGTCATTCTGTTTCGCTCCATTCTCTCTACATGTCCGAACCACCTCAGCAACCCTTCCTCAGCCCTCTGGACAACAGTTTTGGTAATCCCGCACCTCCTCCTAACTTCCAAACTACGAATTCTCTGCATTATATTCACACCACACATTGCCCTCAGACATGACATCTCCACTGCCTCCAGCCTTCTCCTCGCTGCAACATTCATCACCCACGCTTCACACCCATATAAGAGCGTTGGTAAAACTATACTCTCATACATTCCCCTCTTTGCCTCCAAGGACAAAGTTCTTTGTCTCCACAGACTCCTAAGTGCACCACTCACTCTTTTTCCCTCATCAATTCTATGATTCACCTCATCTTTCATAGACCCATCCGCTGACACGTCCACTCCCAAATATCTGAATACGTTCACCTCCTCCATACTCTCTCCCTCCAATCTGATATTCAATCTTTCATCACCTAATCTTTTTGTTATCCTCATAACCTTACTCTTTCCTGTATTCACCTTTAATTTTCTTCTTTTGCACACCCTACCAAATTGAGAAAAACTTAAACATTCTGACATTTTATGATGGTTTTGCAGCAGTTTTACAGATATGTAATTTTTCAATGCAAATGTAGTGCCCCCCAAACACAGACACTATGTCCTCATATGGACACATACTGATTTGACACTTCCAGTTGATATCATGCCTGACATGTAAGAAATAAGTACCAAGAAATGCTCAGTGCCTGAAATGCTCAGGCATGTTAGTGGCTTTCTTTGTGCTTAACAATACTGCATATGTATTTAAATCACACACTGTAAACTTTGCAAAAAAAATAAAAATTTGAGTTTGAAAGAGAAAATAGCATTATATTAAGAGAATAAGTTAGAGGAATGCCCTGAAAGAATCTTGTGTTATCACTATCTTGTTAACAGAAGTTCAGAAATTTAATAAGAGTTACAATAGCAAAGATAAAATTATTTCCTTAACTTGAATAATGCAAAAATCAGAACAATCAATGCATCATATATTATGCCTTGTATATTTTGCCTTACCTGTTGTAGGGTGTAGGATCAAAAAGTTGGCGGGCGCTAGCAGCACACCCCAATGCCAAACCGCAGAGAAGAAACACAATAAACACAAGGAAGAGCCGTCCACATTTAAACAAAGGCTGCAAACTCTCACGCATTACATGCCCAGAGCAATTATAGTGGGCTAGCGATTGTTTGTGCTGAGGAAAATAAAAATGTTACACAAGGAAACGTGCAATATTACTACTGTATATACTTAATGTATGCATGTGCGCACACACACACACACACACACACACACACACACACACACACACATACACACACACAGATAATAATACTCAGAAAATATACTATTTGTGGTGAAAAATGGTTGATTAATGCTAGTGTCAGCCGAATGGTCCACTATGATGAGGAGGCAATATTAATCTCACCAGTCATGACCTCTAATCAAGGACTGCATCACAATTTTAGCAGTTATCCTAAAATGCATTACTGTATACCGTATTTATGTTATTTAAGCCTGGATTTTTTTTTTTAGTCATTCAGCCCCAACTAAAAATCTATGAAAAATAAAGGTTTATGAAATAAACCATTTGGATATCTGCTTGATCTGTTTAACTTTGCATATATAACTACATTTCAACATGTAACATCTTATGGAGAAAGACATTTCCAACTTTAAATTTTTCGGAGCCACCCTATCATTCATAAGCTGCCAAAAAGAAACAATTCAGGAGTTGGGAAGCCATTAATGTTTGTTTGATTTCAATTTACGAAGCACTAGAACTACTGGGCTATTCAGACCTTTAAACCATATACCATTTCTAACAATGAAATTTCTATTAATACTGACTTGCTACTCCCAATTACAGAAATCATATTAAGCAAGTAAAACAATTCAGTCAATTTTTCACATTCCACATCCATAATTTATTGTGTCCTTGGCCATAAATATCAGTAGCTTTAAACAGAAATGGAAAATACCCCCACTATTTATGCCAAGAGAGATGCTACATTCTTAGACAAGCACCCTGTGGAAAGTGGCACCCCCCACAGAGGCCTCTACCCCTAGGCATGGAGGAGGAGGAGGAGGAAAGCTATTGAGCACATTTTCAATGAAACTGAATGATATCTTTTCAATTCAGAAGTCATGTACCAAACCCCACAAATACAGACACCAGAATGAAACAAATAATCACATCTATTTGCAGGTTGCCTCTCAAAATATAAAAAAAAAAAAAAAAATATGAACGGGGGAATAATCACACAAACATGTCAGTGATTTTTAAATCTGACTACTGTAGTATACTGTACTCTGTCACTTTAGAAAGATAAATATATTTAGTTTTCATCATTATTTTTAAAATTCTTATAGTGCAATCATTTTAATCAGCTTCTCGAGTATGGTTGACTAATTTGACCAACCTCTTCATGAAGAGCTGTTAGCTTGTGCTTCATAGTAGGGTCAAAAGACATGTGATGAGACTTCTTGAGAATTACAGTGGCTTCATGTATGCGACCTCGACACACAGACCACCGTGCACTTTCTGGCAGCATTCTGAAAATCGTACATTGTATTGTTCAAAATAGTGCTCTATAATATGCTAGGCTTTGCATTTAGGCTCTGATGATGCATTATGAACTACCAGCTCACAATCACACCTACTCACCTTCAAGCATTATGCTTTCAGTTCATTAAGTCTCCAACTCATTTTTTTTTTTTTACCTTTTCAATTCCCACTTTCTATGAACTGGCTCCAATCTGACCAACTACATGCTGTAGCCAACCCTTGTACTTAGTCCAAGAACCCCTATAGCAAATTTTCATGGTATCAGTTACTTTTATTATGCAGTATCTATAGGGTTGTAGAAGGATATAATGGGGTTCAGGGACTAGGGGCCCAAAATGTTAGTAGCTAACCAAGTTAAAGCAGTAATGAACTATTTACATATCAATTTATTCAGTAGTAATAGTAATTAGTTGTTTACACAAAGAATTCAATCACAAACATTAAATTCTGTTTGTCTGTCTTGCCAGTTGAAGGCTGGATAGAAGCAATATATCTTCCTTTCAACTTGGATGCTAGATGGATAACTATCACCTGCCTTATTTAGAAGCACTGCTTCCATGGGTAAATTTAATCTAGTTCTTTGATGATGAGGATGGGTGTTATGTAGCAAAAGATTTCCTTGCCCCAGTTTTCATCCGTGTGTTAAGAAACTTCCTCCTGAAGACTGCTTCTTATATGACCTCCACTAGTTACCATTTGAGCAGATCATTAGGGGATGTAAACATCCTCTTCATCCCTTATCAAATATTTCTGAAGTCATAGATGCACAAGATGCAATGGGGGCAAGCGTGTGCTGCAGAAAAATGTGATTTATATTCACTGTCTTTGTTTACAAGCTGTTGTGGAGCTTCATTATTCAGTTACTGCTTAACAAGCAGCCAGTAACATGCTGTGTTGAACACCTCATACTAGTTCTACAGGCCATGTGGTTCAGTACAATAGCCTGGTTTACTTTGATTCCTCAGGGCCCTAGTGACTCAAAGAAATTTTGTGCCTTCTAACTTCTACCAATTTTACTGAAATTTGGCATTTTTCCCCCTTGGTCCAACAACAGTGAGTGATGGTGGTGGTCTTGTGGTCTTTTGGTCTCTTGGCTTTCCTCCATATTTTTCCTACCACCAACTCGAGAGTGGTAAGCACTGGTTTTTACTAATAAAGTATTTTTCCACTAGTTGAAGCTTCTCTCCCTCTGTCATTTTCTGTTAGGTCATCTTTCCATCCCAGGGGGTTGACCAGAGAATGCTAGGGTTCCCTACCCAGCAAGGTTTGCTAGAATTGAGAATTTCATTTGTATAGTATGTTCTCTGCCATAGGAACACAGAGCATCCCTAGTTTTTACTAACCCAGTCATGTTGGTACATCTTTTAGGGCCCCACTTCAGAAACACAAGGGCTCTCATAGCCATGTTTTAAAACTTTGTGGCATTAGGACAGGTTCATTTTGCCATGGTAGGGTCAAGTTCCTCTTCTGCCAGGATCTCTCCTTGTTTCTGATCTCTGGTGTGGAGATTACCCATCCATCTTGCTCAGTCTGCACCAGGTGTGCCTGTGAATTTTCCATGCAGAGCTCAATGAGTAAACTTTCTTTCTCAATCTAGCTTGTAAGATGTCCAGGCTGATTTAAATTATTCTTCAGAGGGTGCCCTTTCACCTCCATATTTCAAATGCATTCCCTCTGCCCTTCAAGTTTCCAATTCAACAGGTGTGAACTAATGCTGGTCTCCCACTGTGAGAAACTTCACTGAGAACAAGTTATATCATGCAAGGTAACTGATAACGACAGGTCATTCTCTGATATTGCTTTATGTTCAACAATAGGTATCTGATTTAATTTAAGCATGAAAGATCTGCACCTTCCCATGCCTTTGCAGAGCATCTCACCAGTGTCCACAGTCAGGGTTCTTCCCATCCTTGTACAGTATGGCAGGGTACCTCACAAGAACAGTAAATGTTCCTCAAATACGTAGTGGTTCTCAGTATTAACTGCATGCTGTTTTTTTTTTTTGCACCTGAATGAAGAAGGCTACCAGTAAATAACAATTCAATTTGATAACTATATGCCATGGCTTTTCTTACACACATTATCCACTATCACCGATCTACAGACAAACCTTAAATAGTTCCACAATGTTTATAATTTGTAATACGCACAAAAAAAGTAATGTAACTGTTCATTTTTAGTACAGTATTTACATATACTTATCTCTTATAGCTGTGTATCATTGTATAACGCTAAGCATGGATTGTGGCAATAACAGCACACAAAATTTACACCATTATCTTGTATTTTTGCACTCACTGGGATGCCTTGCATCAAAACTTAACCCTCTGACTGTTTTGGTCATATATATATATCTTATGAGCCACTGTTTCAGATGTATATGTACTCGAGAATTCTAGCGGCTTCAAATCAAGCAGGAGAAAGCTGGTAGGCCCACATGTGAGAGAATGGGTCTGTATGGTCAGTGTGAACCACATAAAAAAAATCCTGCAGCACGCACTGCATAATGAAAAAAAAACTCGGACCGTTTTTTTTGGATTAAAACACCGACATTGAGGTGTATTTTCTTATAGTATTTATCGTTGTATTCTCGTTTTCATGGTCTCACGTGATAAAATGGAACACATATTACAGAAATAGAGATGATTTTGATTAGTTTCATGATGAAAATGACCTGGAAATTGAGCTCAAAATAGCGGAAAAGTTCGATTTTTACCAATGTTCAAGAGTAAGCAAATCACACCACACATCCAATACACATCAACTGGGGTGTCTAATATTCTTTCACTAGTGCACTGATATTATTTATACCATTTTTACAATAATACAGTAGTCTGCATAACAGTAAATTTTGTATTTTTTGTATGAATAAAAAATCAAAATAGAAGGCAATAGTAATAAAAGAGGGGCCTAGACACGTGACTAATGAACAGAGGATATGTTATTTTAGTGCAAAGGATATCTACATTGTTTATTCTGGACCCTATTTTGAAATTGGCATCTTTTTTAATTTGCATGAAATTGGCCAAATAGCCAATTTCTGACCCCTTTATTGGTTAGTTCATATCAGTAAATGGGCAGTTTCTTGTACTCAATTGACAGAAAAAATGGAGTTCTAAAGAAATAGCTGTGAGTTTGGTAAACTGGAACAATGGAATTGGCCAAAAACAGGGCTCAAAATCGGCAAAATCGCCAATGCGTATATGTTGCCGAGACCGCTAACTTCACGGGAGTGTAATTCCGTGAGTTTTCGACCAAATTTCGAACTTTTGATGTCATTACCATCGGGAAAAGATTCTCTATCATTTCATTTTGTTTTTTTCCAAAAATTTTTCGACATAGAATGACAGTTTCAGAAAGGGGCTTGCGACAGTCAAAGGGTTAAATAATACCTATTGAACATATTCCTTCCTACTTGTAGCCAGCAGACACCAACAAGCATCTATATCTCAGAACAGGAATGTAAACAAATTAACCTAAGTAGTACCATACATACACTCAAATCATGTTTGCCTCACAAAGATAATTTTCCATCAATGGCAGTTAGCAGGTTTACCTGGAGTTTACCTGGAGAGAGTTCCGGGGGTCAACGCCCCCACGGCCCGGTCTGTGACCAGGCCTCCTGGTGGATCAGAGCCTGATCAACCAGGCTGTTGCTGCTGGCTGCACGCAAACCAACGTACGAGCCACAGCCCGGCTGATCAGGAACCGACTTTAGGTGCTTGTCCAGTGCCAGCTTGAAGACTGCCACGGGTCTGTTGGTAATCCCCCTTATGTATGCTGGGAGGCAGTTGAACAGTCTCGGGCCCCTGACATTTATTGTATGGTCTCTTAACGTGCTAGTGACACCCCTGCTTTTCATTGGGGGGATGTTGCATCGTCTGCCAAGTCTTTTGCTTTCGTAGTGAGTGATTTTCGTGTGCAAGTTCAGTACTAGTCCCTCTAGGATTTTCCAGGTGTATATAATCATGTATCTCTCCCGCCTGCATTCCAGGGAATACAGGTTTAGGAACCTCAAGCGCTCCCAGTAATTGAGGTGTTTTATCTCCGTTATGCGCGCCATGAAGGTTCTCTGTACATTTTCTAGGTCAGCAATTTCACCTGCCTTGAAAGGTGCTGTTAGTGTGCAGCAATATTCCAGCCTAGATAGAACAAGTGACCTGAAGAGTGTCATCATGGGCTTGGCCTCCCTAGTTTTGAAGGTTCTCATTATCCATCCTGTCATTTTTCTAGCAGGTGCGATTGATACAATGTTATGGTCCTTGAAGGTAAGATCCTCCGACATGATCACTCCCAAGTCTTTGACGTTGGTCTTTCACTCTATTTCGTGGCCAGAATTTGTTTTGTACTCTGATGAAGATTTAATTTCCTCGTGTTTACCATATCTGAGTAATTGAAATTTATCATCGTTGAACTTCATATTGTTTTCTGCAGCCCACTGAAAGATTCGGTTGATGTCCGCCTGGAGCCTTGCAGTGTCTGCAATGGAAGACACTGTCATGCAGATTCGGGTGTCATCTGCAAAGGAAGACACGGTGCTGTGGCTGACATCCTTGTCTATGTCGAATATGAGGATGAGGAACAAGATGGGAGCGAGTACTGTGCCTTGTGGAAAAGAGCTTTTCACCGTAGCTGCCTCGGACTTTACTCTGTTGACGACTACTCTCCGTGTTCTGTTAGTGAGGAAATTATAGATCCATCGACCGACTTTTCCTGTTATTCCTTTAGCACGCATTTTGTGCGCTATTACGCCATGGTCACACTTGTCGAAGGCTTTTGCAAAGTCTGTATATATTACATCTGCATTCTTTTTATCTTCTAATGCATTTAGGACCTTGTCGTAGTGATCCATTAGTTGAGACAGACAGGAGTGACCTGTTCTAAACCCATGTTGCCCTGGGTTGTGTAACTGATGGGTTTCTAGATGGGTGGTGATCTTGCTTCTTAGGACCCTTTCAAAGATTTTTATGATATGGGATGTTAGTGCTATCGGTCTGTAGTTCTTTGCTGTTGCTTTACTGCCCCCTTTGTGGAGTGGGGCTATGTCTGTTGTTTTTAGTAACTGTGGGACGACCCCCGTGTCCATGCTCCCTCTCCATAGGATGGAAAAGGCTCGTGATAGGGGCTTCTTGCAGTTCTTGATGAACACGGAGTTCCACGAGTCTGGCCCTGGGGCAGAGTGCATGGGCATGTCATTTATCGCCTGTTCGAAGTCATTTGGCGTCAGGATAACATCGGATAGGCTTGTGTTAACCAAATTTTGTGGCTCTCTCATAAAAAATTCATTTTGATCTTCAACTCTCAGTCTGGTTAGCGGCTTGCTAAAAACTGAGTCATATTGGGACTTGAGTAGCTCACTCATTTCCTTGCTGTCATCTGTGTAGGACCCATCTTGTTTAAGTAGGGGCCCAATACTGGACGTTGTTCTCGACTTTGATTTGGAATAGGAGAAGAAATACTTTGGGTTTCTTTCGATTTCATTTATGACTTTTAGTTTTTCCCGCGATTCCTGACTCCTGTAAGATTCCTTTAGCTTAAGTTCGATGCTTGCTATTTCTCTGACCAGTGTCTCCCTACGCATTTCAGATATATAGACCTCTTTTAGCCGCTCTGTTATTCTTTTCCGTCGCCTGTAAAGGGAGCGCCCGTCTCTTTCTATTTTACATCTACTCCTCCTTTTTCTTAGAGGAATAAGCCTTGTGCATACATCGAGTGCCACCAAGTTAATCTGTTCTAGGCATAAGTTGGGGTCTGTGTTGCTTAGTATATCTTCCCAGCTTATATCGGTTAGGACTTGGTTTACTTGGTCCCACTTTATGTTTTTGTTATTGAAGTTGAATTTGGTGAATGCTCCCTCGTGACTAGTCTCATTATGTCGGTCTGGGGCTCCACGCATACATGTCTGAACCTCAATTATGTTGTGATCTGAGTATATTTTTTTGATATGGTGACATTTCTTATCAGATCATCATTGTTAGTGAAGATGAGGTCTAGTGTATTCTCCAGTCTAGTAGGCTCTATTATTTGCTGGTTTAAATTGAATTTTGTGCAGAGATTTAAAAGCTCGTGTGAGTGTGAGTTTTCATCAGAGCTGCCTCCTGGTGTTATTACTGCAACAATATTATTTGCTATATTCCTCCATTTTAGGTGCCTTAAGTTGAAATCCCCCAGGAGCAAGATGTTGGGTGCAGGAGCTGGAAGATTTTCCAGACAGTGGTAACTAAAACAAGCTATGTATTTAAACAAAAAAAAAAAAAAAAGCAAGTGTGAGTTATTCATCAGAAGCTATTACTCTAGTCATAAAATGCTTGAGAAGTTCAACATTTCAAATTAAGAATTAGAAGGAGATTTGATTATTTTGCAATACTCTACAGCACTATTACATTATGATCAAAAGGGAATATAAATGGAGACTCAAAAAGGAAAGATTCTAATACAGTACGAGATTTTTATATAATTACGGTACATTAAACTATAAGTGATGGCATTATTAAACTACTGATGTACTTTATTCAAACAAGCTGTATATAGTATTCACATACAGTATTACAATATAACGTACTAACTTGTTAGGCCATCTTACATGATAAATACTACGAACACCAAGGAGGGCAAGCTCCGTGCCATCTGAGAATATATTGGAGAAGGAATGAATGTTCTAATCAGTGGGGTCCCAGCTCCAACTCCAATAGCATGCCCCAACATCATCAGGCACACTGACCTCACACATTCTGGCTGCGTACTGCCCTCTGTTGCTGCAATAACAAAATAATGGTTTAAATGGATGGATATACACACACACACACATTTCTAGTATAGTTGCCTGTAATATACTATGTGCTTAACCTAGCAGTGGGGACAGTCCAAGGTATTTTCAGGAAAATGCTCAAATGAAAAAATTAAAACCAAGAAATGCAAAAATTAGAAAGTACCAGCAAGTTAGCTAAAAAGAATACTAAACTCTAAAATGAAGGGTAAAAAAAGTAGAACTACAGAGGAACAAGAAGGATTTAGGAAGTGTAGTGGATGTGTAGAACAGGGGTTTACATGGAAGCACTTAAGTAAACAATACCTAGATAAGAGTACGAGCGCAAGGCTTGAGTTAGAGTATGTAGGAGAGAATGGGACTATTTATAGATGGGGTTGTAAAAGAAGTGAACACTAAGGTGTTAGGGAGAGGTGTAGAGGTTAGTTGGAGGGAAGAATAAAGTTGTTGGAAGACAACACTGTCAAATACAAGTCGACCATCACTAATCCGGCATCACTGGGACCTGTAGTGTGCCAGATTAGTGAGTTTGCTGGATTACAGAGGGGTTAGGTTAGAATACACTTAATTAACCTATCAATAGTCTCTTTCTGCTACATCTTGCTCATTTTCATCACTGCTTTCTCCTCCACTGGCTTGCTCCTATGGATTCACAACCATCTGCACAATTTCCGAGTCAGTATAATGATGAAATTTGAAATTATACTAGCCAAAATTAGTGCCGGATTACTGATGGAATCGGGTAACTGATTGCTGGATTAGTGATGGCCAACCTGTACAATGATTGTTCCAAGTAAAAGAACACTGTTTAAAACAGCAATGTTAATAAAAGATAGTAGTACAAAGCAACATTGTCAACTTGAACATTAAAATTGTTGGAGGTAGAAAAAAAAAAAAATGTTATTCAGTGTTTTTGGCAAGTTAAATACAACCCCCAAACTACTCCAGCCAAAACCAAAACTGAACTTATAAGAAATTTTCAAATTAATAAGTACACAACCAAAAAAAATCTATCAATTAACATCTACTACATTGCCAATGTCAATTATTGTACTTTGTAGGAAGCTCCTATTCATTCAGGACAAGAGAAAATATATTTTAGGCAATTAAGAAAAGACACACCTAGCATAAGCAGGGCAATTGTTGTAGCCTGGGCAGAAGCACCTTCCAAGGTGACACAGAAAACCACAGATTCAGCATTTGGCGAGAAGGTTCGAGCAAAGGACACAACAAAATAAAGTCCCATCCAAACTACGGCTGACCTCCGCCGCCCAAATACATCCATACATAATCCTGCTACCAGCATTATCATCACTCTCATCCCAACCAGTACATTGCCAGGGAAGGAGTATGGCTGCCACTTCTCGTGCGTACACTCCAGTATCTGAAGAATGCCGTACAGTAACACAAATTTAACATTCATGAATATACTCTATCTGCAATAAAAAACTCATGTGAGCATATACAACATAGGTAAATTACCATAAGAATATGGCAGAGTTAATGCAACAGCACAATATACCTACCATGCGGTTATCATCAACACGAGTTTCTGGCAGAAGCTCCACATTTTTGCACCTGTATTAAAAGACTATTCATTTAAGTAAAAATTATAAAAAAATGTAGATTTATATTCTCATATTCCCATGAAATAAATCATTATGACAGCTTACATACAGACAGTGTACTTACATTCCATAAAGATTACTTGGAGTGAGGTTGCCCCAGCAGCTATATAGAGGTATAGGGAGCAGAGTTGATATCTCCAGTGACCCCAAACCCAATATTAACATCCCTGGAATTCAAGGAATGTTGTAAATTACTTTTTTTGTACTTGTAAAAGGTTAAGCTTCTTGTGGAATATAATTTCTCCGAGTTTTAATTACAGTACTGATAGAATGAAGCAAAATACTGTACAGTGGAACCTCCACGTGCATGTTTTTCCCAATATGAGCAGTTGATCAGTCGATTTTTTCCTTCCACATGTGAGCGAAATTTCCACAAGCGAGCGGGCCTCATGGGAGGTTCCTTGATGCTGGTGAAGGGCTCTTGCTCTTGATCTAGGGAATTGGATCTCATTTGTTTGTTGGACTATCTTATTGAAACTTGGGCAATGTATGATGGAAAGATGCTTCTTAACGTACGCCACAAATGAAAGAAATCGGACTATAAATAATGGAGCTCACTTCTCAGCAATTAGCTGCCCCTTAGCAGTCTTTTTGTATGTTTTTTTTATGGTTGTATTCTCTTTTTTTTTTTTTTGTCTCATTTGACAGAATGGAAGATATATAAGATATATTACAGAAATAGATATGATTTTGATTTGTTTCACGACAAAAAGTACATCGAAAATTGAACTCAAAGTAGCAGAAATGTTCAATTCTTTGGCGATATTCAAGAGTAAACAAATGACATCACTGTCCATTCCAATATGCAGTCGTGAATGGGTTGACATAATACAATTATTCCAATGATTCTGTTTTTTTTTTTTTTTTAACAAGTCGGCTGTCTCCCACCGAGGCAGGGTGACCCAAAAAGAAAGAAAATCCACAAAAAGAAAATACTTTCATTATCATTCAACACTTTCACCTCACTCACACATCACTGCTTTTGCAGAAGTGTTCAGAATACAACAGTTTAGAAGCACATACGTATAAAGATACACAACACATCCCTCCAAACTGCCAATATCCCCAACCCCTCCTTTAAAGTGCAGGCACTGTACTTCCATTTCAAGGACTCAAGTCCGGCTATATAAAAATAACCAGTTTCCCTGAATCCCTTCACTAAATATTACCCTGCTCACACTCCAACAGCTAATCAGGTCCCAAATACCATTTGTCTTCATTCACTCCTATCTAACATGCTCACACATTCTTCCTGGAAGTCCAAACCCCTTGCCCACAAAACCTCCTTTACCCCCTTAATCCAACCTTTTCGAGGACGACCCCTACTCTGCCTTCCTTCCCCTAGAGATTTATATGCTCTCCGTGTCATGCCCCAGACTGACATAATGAGACTAGTCACGAGGGAGCATTCACCAAATTCAACTTCAATAACAAAAACAAAGTGGGACCAAGTAAACCAAGTCCTAACCGATATAAGCTGGGAAGATATACTAAGCAACACAGACCCCAACTTATGCCTAGAACAGATTAACTTGGTGGCAACTGATGTATGCACAAGGCTTATTCCTCTAAGAAAAAGGAGGAGTAGATGTAAAATAGAAAGAGACAGGTGCTCCCTTTACAGGCGACGGAAAAGAATAACAGAGCGGCTAAAAGAGGTCAATATATCTGAAATGCGTAGGGAGACACTGGTCAGAGAAACAGCAAGCATCGAACTTAAGCTAAAGGAATCTTATAGGAGTCAGGAATCGCGGGAAGAACTAAAAGTCATAAATGAAATCGAAAGAAACCCAAAGTATTTCTTCTCCTATGCCAAATCAAAGTCGAGAACAACGTCCAGTATTGGGCCCCTACTTAAACAAGATGGGTCCTACACAGATGACAGCAAGGAAATGAGTGAGCTACTCAAGTCCCAATATGACTCAGTTTTTAGCAAGCCGCTAACCAGACTGAGAGTCGAAGATCAAAATTAATTTTTATGAGAGAGCCACAAAATTTGATTAACACAAGCCTATCCGATGTTATCCTGACGCCAAATGACTTCGAACAGGCGATAAATGACATGCCCATGCACTCTGCCCCAGGGCCAGACTCATGGAACTCCGTGTTCATCAAGAACTGCAAGAAGCCCCTATCACGAGCCTTTTCCATCCTATGGAGAGGGAGCATGGACACGGGGGTCGTCCCACAGTTACTAAAAACAACAGACATAGCCCCACTCCACAAAGGGGGCAGTAAAGCAACAGCAAAGAACTACAGACCAATAGCACTAACATTCCATATCATAAAAATCTTTGAAAGGGTCCTAAGAAGCAAGATCACCACCCATCTAGAAACCCATCAGTTACACAACCCAGGGCAACATGGGTTTAGAACAGGTCGCTCCTGTCTGTCTCAACTATTGGATCACTATGACAAGGTCCTAAATGCACTAGAACACAAAAAGAATGCAGATGTAATATATAAAGACTTTGCAAAAGCCTTCGACAAGTGTGACCATGGCGTAATAGCGCACAAAATGCGTGCTTAAGGAATAACAGGAAAAGTCGGTCGATGGATCTATAATTTCCTCACTAACAGAACACAGAGAGTAGTCGTCAACAGAGTAAAGTCCAGCAGCTACGGTGAAAAAGCTCTTTTCCCACAAGGCACAGTACTCGCTCCCATCTTGTTCCTCATCCTCATATCCGACATAGACAAGGATGTCAGCCACAGCACCGTGTCTTCCTTTGCAGATGACACCCGAATCTGCATGACAGTGTCTTCCATTGCAGACACTGCAAGGCTCCAGGCGGACATCACCGAATCTTTCAGTGGGCTGCAGAAAACAATATGAAGTTCAACGATGAGAAATTTCAATTACTCAGATATGGTAAACATGAGGAAATTAAATCTTCATCAGAGTACAAAACAAATTCTGGCCACAAAATAGAACGAAACACCAACGTCAAAGACCTGGGATGATCATGTCGGATGATCTCACCTTCAAGGACCATAACATTGTATCAATCGCACCTGCTAGAAAAATGACAGGATGGATAATGAGAACCTTCAAAACTAGGGTGGCCAAGCCCATGATGACACTCTTCAGGTCACTTGTTCTATCTAGGCTGGAATATTGCTGCACACTAACAGCACCTTTCAAGGCAGGTGAAATTGCTGACCTAGGAAATGTACAGAGAACCTTCACAGCACGCATAACGGAGATAAAACACCTCAATTACTGGAGCGCTTGAGGTTCCTAAACCTGTATTCCCTGGAATGCAGGCGGGAGAGATACATGATTATATACACCTGGAAAATCCTAGAGGGCCTAGTACCGAACTTGCACACGAAAATTACTCACTACGAAAGCAAAAGACTTGGCAGACGATGCAACATCCCCCCAATGAAAAGCAGGGGTGTCACTAGCACGTTAAGAGACCATACAATAAGTGTCAGGGGCCCGAGACTGTTCAACTGCCTCCCAGCATACATAAGGGGGATTACCAACAGACCCCTGGCAGTCTTCAAGCTGGCACTGGACAAGCACCTAAAGTCATTTCCTGATCAGCCGGGCTGTGGCTCGTACGTTGGTTTGCGTGCAGCCAGCAGCAACAGCCTGGTTGATCAGGCTCTGATCCACCAGGAGGCCTGGTCACAGACCGGGCCGCGGGGGCATTGACCCCCGGAACTCTCTCCAGGTACTCCAACACTATATATCCCCCTGCTTTTAACATTCCTGTCATGATCCCGTCACTTGCAGCTGTTTTACCCCCTTTCATTCTACGTAATGCCTCACACACCTCCCCACACTCGCATCCTGCTCTTCTTCACTCCTAAAAGATGGTATACCTCCCTGGCCAGTGCATGAAATTACCGCCTCCCTTTCTTCGGCAACATTTAAAAGTTCCTCAAAATATTCTTGCCATCTATCCAAAACCTCCATCTCCCAATATACTAACTCCCCTACTCTGTTTTTAACTGACTAATCCATTTGTTCCCTAGGCTTTCTTAACTTTTTTAACTCCAAAATTTTTTCTTATTTTCATTAAAATTTCTTGACAGTGCCTCTCCCACTATCATCTGCTCTCCTTTTGCACTCTCTCATCACTCTCTTCACCTTTCTTTTACTCTCCATATACGTACTCTACTCTTCTTATAACACTTCAGCTTTATAAAAACCTCTCATAAGCTACCTTTTTCTTTTATCGCACCCTTTACTTCATCATTCCACCAATCACTCCTCTTTCCTCCTGCATCCACCCTCCTATAACCACAAACTTCTGCCCCACATTCTAATACATGTACCGCATTTTTAAAACTATTCCAACCCTCTTCAACCCATCCCCACTACTCATACTTGTACCAGCCCACCTTTCTGCCAATAGTTGCTTATATGTCACCCAAACTTCCTCCTCCCTGAGTTTATACACTTTCACCGCCCTCTTACTTGTAGTTGCCATTTTCCTCTTGTCCCATCTACCTCTTACTCTAACTGTAGCTACAACTAAATAATGATCCGATATATCAGTTGCCCCTCCATAAACATGTACATCCTGGAGCCTACCCATCAACCTTTTATCCACCAATACATAATCTAACAAACTTTCATTATGTGCTATATCATACCTTGTATATTTATTTATCCTCTTTTCAATAAAATATGTATTACTTATTACCAAACCTCTTTCTACACATAGCTCAATTAAAGGCTCCCCATTTTCATTTACCCCTGGCACCCCAAATTTACCTACTACTCCCTCCACAACATTTTTACCCACTTTAGCATTAAAATCCCCAACCACAAGTACTCTCACACTTGGTTCAAAACTCCCAACACATTCACTCAATATTTCCCAAAATCTCCCTCTCCCCTCTACACTTCTCTCTTCTCCAGGTGCATATAAGCTTATTTTAACCCCCTTTTCACATCCAACTTTTATTTTACTCCACACAATCCTTGAATTAATACATTTATAGTCCCTCTTTTACTGCCATTTATTTATTTATTTATTTATTTATTTATTTATTATAAATTTGTGCACACATACAGAGGTACAAAAAAATACAGATAAGAGCAGTATGCCAAAGCCACTTATACTATGCATAGCATTACGGGCTGGCTTAAAATTAACTTAAGATTAACTAAGCAATGATGAAGTCAGTGATAAAACATTAATGTAAA